GCCTATGTCACTTATAGTAAGTGATAATTCTAGTTCAAGTGATTATGATATATATAAAAAATTAAGAGATAAATGATAAAATAAAAGGATATATATAGAAAATTAAAAAATAAATGATAAAATAAAAGGAGAGATTAGAAGATAAAAAATGATGGATTACACAAAGATCAAATTTTATAAGGCTTGATTGGATCTCGATTTAATTATCGACTCTATCGTGATGTTAAAAATATAATTAGACATTTGTATATTTAATTTTATAATTTTTGATTTGGTCTTGATTCAATTAAGTCAAAAAAAATTTGAAAATACTTTTAAAAATAACATTTTGTTTTGAAAATGCTTTTAAAAATAGATTGTTTATGTCACTTATAGTGAATGATAATTCTAATGGAAGTGATTATAACATCTATAAAAAAATAAGAGATAAATAATAAAATAAAAAAAATTAGAAGATGAAAATTAGTGAATTATACAAAAACCAAATTTTATAAGGTTTGATGAGGTCTCGATCCAACTATCAACTCAATCATAATGTTAAAAGTATAATTAGGCTAATGCATATTTAATCTTGTAATCTTTAATTTGATTTTGATGTAATCAAGTCAAAATTTTTTTTTTTCATGTATTATCACTAATGATATAATTTCCACAAAAATTTGAATTATTTGGCTCCAAATCTAGGAAAAGAAGGGTTCATGTTAATGTGCAGGAATTTTCTTTTTTTTTTAATTTTTTTTTTTTTAAAAAAAGAAAGAGAAAAAAATTGCCAAATCAGTGAAGTATCATTACGGAAAACAAGAAAAAGCAAAGCAAAGCAAAAGGACTCAAAGTAACGCATAGACAGAGGGAGATTGAAGAACACAGAATCTTAAAAAAAACACGCACAAACTTCCACTTATGACGCTTTAAATGAAGATTTTCTATTTTAAAAATAATCTTAAAATCCACAAATAAATAGATCTTCTTCACGAGCCTCTACCTCTCTACCTATACCTGTCAGACCTTACCTGTACCAAGTTCTATTTTTGGTGCTTTACAGTTTGTACTGTACATACAAAGCCTAGAGCGAGAGAGGCTACAGGGAGACAGCCCACGATCTATGCATCTTCCTTTTTCTTTTTCTTTTTTCCGGGTTTGACAGCCCCACAAGAAATAGATTTTTGAGTTATTAAGGGCTAAAGCTAAAATCAATCATGCCATCAGGTGCTAAGAAGAGGAAAGCTGCCAGGAAAAAGAAGGAAAAGGAGGTCAGCGACAACTCTTCAATCAGCAGCAACAATCCTCAAGGTTTTTTTAAAGAAAAAGGAAAAGAGAAAAAAGATGTTTAAAGGGTTTTCACTTTGAGTACAACCACCCATCACTTGCCACTCTGTCACTCAATCATACACTCACTTGCTGGCCTTTTTTTAAATTTTTGTTTGATAAGCTATTTGAATCTGAGTAATGGGTTCTTGTTGATAAGTCTTGTTTTGATTGCGTTTGAGTGGATTGGTGTATTTCTCTGTGCAATTTTGTAGTAATGGGTACTTTATAATGGCACTTTGATTTTGTAGTTTTGGTGTTTTTGTGGATTTTGGGTTAATGGGTGTGTGTTGACATCGTTTGTTGATCGAGTTTTTTTAGGTTTTTTTCACCTACTGATTTTGGTGTTTTTGCCAATTTGGTTAATGGGTATCCTTTTCATGTCCTTCTTTTAGCTTTGCTCTGATTGGATTCTTGGTGGTTATTTTATTTTTAGGGTATTTGGATTAGATTCATTTGTTTATGTTTCATGTTTTTCTTGATCTGATGGGAATTGTGTGGTGGTGGTTTATTTTTTTTCCCGAGGTTTTAGTCTTAAGAATTTGCTTAGAGATTTTGATTGTGATGGTTTAACTAACTTACAGGCCCTTGCATGTTTAACTCCCTTCAAATTTGGTTAAGCATATCAACTCAATTTACATTTGTTGATGTTCCTTGTTTCTCTTGAACATTGTTGCGATGTAGTTGAAATGTTTGCCTCCCACTTAATTATCATGCCATTCTGTTTGGCGCACGTTTTAAGTTTGTTTTAATCAATTTGGTTTCATGTTAGTAACAAAGTTAGTTGATCTCTTATCAGTTGCTTGATTCGATGCATCCAATCCATTACTGAGTGCTCTCCTACTTTTCATCACATAATGATATTGATTCAATGAGCATATCTTTGTTAGTTTTTTTGTCCTTAAATTTGATTAAAATTCGGTTCTTTAACCATTTTCTGACTGGAACTTGTGATTTTGTCAATGGTTTTAGGAAATGGTGATCCAAAAAGCTCTGATGAGAGAGAGAATGATGGTGGTGAGATTGTTTCCCCTGTATCACTGGACCAACATAACCACCAGCATCCATTTAATGAGGGTAATGGAGAATCTGAGAAAGGAGGCCCATCACCTGCCGATTCATTTGCCCACCAGAACAAGCCCATGGAGGGAGTCCCTGGGGATGCAGAAGGAAGCCATAAAGTTGAACTAGAGGACAACAGTGCTATTAAAATTGAGAGAGAAGTGAACTCTGAGCAAAATGTGGAAAGTAAAGATATTAATGAGTATGTTGATTGTCCAAAGGAATCTCATGGTGAAGATGATAGGAGCTCTAGCAGTGGTAGTTCCAGCAATGAGTCTCAAGTTTTTGAGAAGAAATCAAAGGAAGCCAATGATGATGAGGACAAGGAATTTGGTTCTTTTCCTAAAGAGGTGAAGCAGATCCCTGAAAATGAGAAACCAGTCAAGGAAGTTAATAATAATTCAGTCTTGGAAACTGCTTCAGCTGTTTATTTGGTGAATCCTGTGGTGCCCATTTCCGAGACAGTGAAATTTGATATGGAGAGTGCTCAAGTTGAAAATTCAGAGGTTCTGGAAGTGGTTGAATCTGGTTTTGAGGAAAATGAGGACAGATTGTTGCCTATATCCAATGAGGTTGTTGAAGTTTCACCAGCTATTGTGGTGCCAAAGAAAAATGAAGATAAAGTTTTTCCCATCTCAAATGAGAATGTTGGGGCATCTTCAAGTGTGGTTGGTTCTTCTGTATATGGAAATTTAGGGAAAACAATGGCATCATCAGGCAGTCATTCCACTGAAACTGGTAATAGTGCAGACAAAAACAAAGACACCGATGCTCTTGAAAGCACTGAAAACCAGGTTTGTTTCTTCTTGATTGTGATTTGATCTATCATTCTTTTTCTTGAATATGTTGCGCTAACAATTGAATATGCTCTGTGTTGCTGAATTTGTCTGCAGCTTCTTCTTGCTTCTGCTCCACAAGTAGCAGAAAGAACATCTTGTTTGAGTTGCTGTGGTTTATTTGATGTTTTTACAGGCACCAATAGATAATTTCAGGTTAGTATTGCCTCAATTTAAATCAGAATGACTTGGATTGGATATCGAGATCTTGTATATATACTGCAAATAGATATGCCTAGTGACTTTCAGGTACCATTTTGTTGTGATCTGTTTTGATGCCCTGTTGTGCCCCCATTTTTCATGTGTTTTGTAGATATGTTATTTGTTAAAAATTCAAATAATGCATTGCAAATCATAGAGCCTCAATTTCAATTTGTTTGGTTGTGGGTCTTAGCAGTTTTGTAAAGCACATGCAAGCTCATAAATTTACTAATCTAGGGATTCCTTTTACTTTTTTGGTCATATAGGCATTACTTTTACTCCTCTCTTTCAACATTATGGCAGAACTCTCAAGAAATCTGAATCATTATAAAGATAATTCTTTCATGAGTCGGTTTTAATGGGGCTGGTAAATTGGAGCTGGTGCCTATTTGTGCCAGATCACTTAGGAATAGTATAAATTCTCTGCTGTAGAAAATCCAGGGATTTTTTTGGGCAACTTATTTTATTTTTTAATTTTTTATAAATTTTTTTTGAGTTGTTGAAAATGCAAATTCCAGCTTATTTTGAGTTATCCCTTTCCCTCTTCTTTTTCTTTCTTTGAGTTATGAAAAAAAGAAGCAAATTTGAAAAGATTCTTAACTGAAAATACCAATTACGAGGTGCTTGCCCTTCTAAACTTTTCAGATCAGTAATGTTTAACAGATTCTTTTCACTGGATTCTTTTTCTATTCATATTTTGATTTGGTTGAACTATGTTTGAAGGCTTTTGGTTTTTGTGCTTTGCACAAGGCCTTGGTTCAACAACTCTCTAGAACTATGATTTTTGCACATTTCCATTTGGCTGTTGTCTTTTCTTTATATGTTGTGCGGTATAAATTTATAGCACCCCCCCATACATCTATTGCAGAAGCAAGCGCGAGCTTCAGGAAGCTGTCCGTGAGCTGGGAGTCTGAGAAGGATTTGGTTTGTAGTAGTTTGAGATAACAGGAGTTAGAATCTCTTGGAAAGTTTTCCCCAATAAGTGCAGAAAACCTGTATAGGTAAAACAATTATATAAACTTTGCAAACAGTGAGTTTCAATATTGGGGGGTAGCTTTAGTTTACCAACCCTAAGCCTCATTTTCTCGTTGATTTTTGATTGTGTCAGTATACCGGGTGTTGTATGTTGTTCATTTTTTACCAGATTGATGATATGAAACTCACCATTCCAAGTATGAGAACAGTGTTTTTCTCCTTCCCCCCTTTCCTTTCTTGACCCTTGTCCTCGTATTTTTATTACTAGCTGAATTGTGTGACTCATGTACATCTTCTTTTTTTCCCCTTAAAAAAAAAAATTTCAGTAATTCTACCTTTTCTCAAGCATGTCATCAGCTGTGCCCTCTGGAATATATGCTATGGATGCCATATCTTTGCTTTTCTTTTCGCAAGTTACAGTGGGCATTAGAAGTCTAAAGAATGCCTATTCATGGTAGGTAGAGAGATTCATGGTGTTCGAGTATGTACGAGAATGATAAAAGCTTGTTTTTTAAAATAATATTTTTATATTTTTTTTAAAAAAATATATATATAGTTCACGGTATCCCATTGACAATAAATAAATAAAAAATAATAATGACAAAAACTATCTATATATAAAATCATCAATACCTAGATAAGGGCGCCTCAGGAACCACAAAATAAAAAATAAAAAAAGTTGCAGAAAACGATGATCAAAACCACGTGCACTAAGAGGAGCAAATAGTAATTGAGTGATTAATAATTAACTAGAGACCGTAAAATGGAAATATGATTTTGGACACCATTTCCTTCGTTATTTGTTCATAAAAATCCAATCAAATCACACGGAAAAACATCAATCTGCTTACAGCCCCAAAGAGCTGGGAAATTAAAAAAAAAAAAAACATTGAAAACACACCAAGCATGCATAAATTAATGGGACTATGAATTCTTTCAAGCTCTTCCACTTGATGAGGCGCCATGGATGGCTGCTATGTATAGAAGCTGCGTAGCAGAAAGTATGATAATAAATGCTTCCATGGTTCTCTGCAGAGAGATGATTACTTGTGTTCAAATTCTTGAACATGATTATACGTAAAACTAAATTCTTGGCTAATTAATCTAACACAGCAGTAGTGGAGTCAAAGAAATCTGATAAAGCTGTTTATCATTCTTACCAGACGGGCGTTCCTGATAGATAGCTCAATTTCTTTGCTGGCAAAGCTGCGCAAATTTTGTTGCCAGTCAGTAATCAACATGGCAAGAAGAAACATATATATCTTTTTTTTTTTTTTCCGTTTTGAATGTAAATAGAGCCTTTTAATCTGTCTTAAGAAAAACACTTTCTTTGACCTCAATCATGGAACTATTTTGATAGTTAATGGCTAAAGTAGTTGCTGAGAGGGAGGACAAAGGCTGATGGATGGTGTTTGCTTACCCCATGGCTAGAAGAGTGAGAGCCCAAGCAATGGCAGCAGCGGAGGCGGCGGATGGCATGCTATCTCTGTGCCAAGAGCGAATGTGATTAAGACCAACAATTGCCGAGGCAACACCAACAACTCCGGCAATCAAAGAGAATGTCACGAAGAACCCAGTGGCAGCATTTCCCATCGGGAAGAAAATGGGTGAGAAATGTGCTGGAAGGTCATAACCAGGTCCTGAAATTAAGTTGTACGTGACATAATTACGGCATAGACCACGCTAGCAGAAGACAATATATAGCAAGCAGTGCATGATTATCAGTGAAGGAAGAGAAAAACAGAGAGAGTGAAGGCGGGGAGAGGGTGATTTACCGATGATGAAGCCATAATCAATGGCTCTATTCATAGCCCAACCGCCAATGCCTAAAACGATGATATACATGATAAGATTTAAGACTAAAAGCAGCAAGGCAACAGGTTTCATCTGCTCGGAGGCCATTCTTGTGCTGTAAACTGAACTATGTGAAAGGACGAAAGGGATTTGGAGTTATTTTATTTTCCCGAGGGCTCCAAAAAGATTCAATGCATAAAAGACTAAGAAAGTACGAGTGTTTAGGGTCAGAAGATGTGTTATTTATAAATGGCATTATGGTTCTTTGCTTGTTAAGCCTGCGGTTCGAGAACTTAGTGGGGGTTGAGGATGCTTTATTTCAAGGCAACCCTCCAGAATCACAATATTCTTACTTGGTTTGCATTTTTATCTAATTCTTTGCAAGAGGCACTTTCCTACCATTTTAGCTGTTGTTCGGAGGGAAAGTGATATTCTGTGCCAGGCGGTGGTGTCCAAATCCGATTACTTGTACACCTTGCTCTTTTTTTTTTTCCTAAAAAAAAATAAACTTCAATCTTCAAACTTTATATGGTATGTGATATAACAAACCTCCTATTAAAATTGTGGAATTTGGTAGATTGTACTTTCTGAAAAGAATAGGGGTTATTTTATTGAAATGAATTAAATTGAAATTAAGGAACAAGGACTTGATTGCAATATCTAAGACAAAAAAATAAATTTTTATCTGTTTAACCCTATTTATAACAGAACTGGTTAATATTTTATTTGAATTTAAAAGAATATTCTTGATTGTTGAATCAGATTTGGGGTCCTTGATTTGTTGAAGACTGACTAATTTCTTACTGGTTCAAACGTTATTGTTTTCCCTTACACAAATATCTAGTTCAACTTGTGTGTTTACCATGCAAGGATCTCTGAACATTGACCGTCCAATTTTTTTCATCTGCATTGTTGTTTATAACATTAAGCACCAACCATCCACGTTTCTAGTATTAACCCGAGGTAGCATTTTGACTGTTCACTTTCTATTTTCTTTTCACCTATTTGTCTTGCCCGATCAAATTTTTTTAAAGGTAAAAATAATCATAATTCTTTGTTTTTCCAAGAAGAAATGATGTCATGAAATTAATCAATACCTTCAATCCCCAAACATGTTGCAACTTCATCTCCCTCAAAAAACCTTGCCTTTAAGGTGAGGGTAGATGTTCTTTAAATGTTATTCTTCTACCCACATAACATCCTCTAGGCTTTGTCTTTTCTATTAAGCTAACAACTCCTTCTTGGCTCTTTTTTAAACATTTTTCTCTTGATTCTTCAAGATCTCCACTAGTTCTTGTTGCGGAGTTCCTTCTAGCCTAAACAGTGAGAGTTCAGGTTCGGAAGTCGTATACTTTTCAATTTTCTTCTTCAATAAAAAGACATCGAACATGGACTAAACCCTTACATCTTATGAAAGCTCGAGATGGTAAGCTACTCGACTGATTCTTTTAATTACTTTGAGTGGGTTGTAGTACTTATGAGCTAACTTTAGTTTCTTTCTCTAATAAATAATGGATTGGCTGTTTGGATGGAGTTTGAGGTAAGTCTAGTCACCTTCTTCTCGTTTTGTGCTCTTGTATTTTGAATTTGTTTGTTTCTTTTGTTGTTCTTGTGCCATAGTTAAATTGCTTTTGATCATTTGTAATATCTTTATGTGATCCTTGATATGTTTTTTTCCATTGCCTCATTATGGTGTAATTCCTGGTACATAATTGATTAAGGATAATGGAGAATAACCATATAGGACTTCAAACTAAGTAGTTTTTAGGGAAGTATGGAAATTGATGTTATACCACCATTCGAGCATAAGTAGCCACCGAGACCAACTTGTAGGATTGTCCCCCGCAAAACAATATAAGTACCCTACTAAAGTTTTACTAGTGTCTTCAATTTAGCTGTTTGTCTGTGGGTAGTAAGTAGTAGATAAGTGCAGTTTAACCTTTTAAACTTTGAACAATTCTTGTCACTATCTGCTTATAATAGTAGGATCTTTATTTATGATAATACTTTATGGTAGTCCATGTAACTTGAAACACGTTGTGCAAATACTTGTGTTACTTAAATTGTTGTGTAAGGATAAACCATGATTATAAAATGTGTATATTTGAACAATCTGTCAACTACCACTAGGATAATAGAATAACTGTTTGAGATAGGTAAACCCTTTATGAAATCCATAGACACAGAAGACCAGGGCCTTTTAAAAATAGATAATGGCTATAATAACTTAGAATGCTTAGTGTTCTCAACCTTGTTTCTTTAGCAAGTATCATACTAGGTGATGTAACTCTTTACATCAGCTTTCACCCACACCCAAAAAAATTCTTCCTTGCCCGTCTTAAGGTTTTTTCATACCTAGAATGACTAGCTATAAAGCTGTTACATATGTAGTGAAAAATATCCTTCTTAAAGGAACATTTTTTATTGATGTATATTCTTTTTTTGTACAAGAAAATTTCATCCTTCAGCTGGTATTTCAGACTTTCCACTTTGCCCTTGTTCATTAATTGTAATAGTTGTTGGATCTATAAGTTAGTATAGCTCTACTTAAGCTTCCTAGCCTAATTAGCAATAAACATAATAATAGCCTATATGTCCTTTTGATCTTCCCTTTCTAATCCCTAAGGCAAAGCATTGACTATCATATTTTCATTACTATATCGATATTCCACTATCAAATCATAACCAAGAAGCTTGGAAATCCGTTTTTATTATGCAGGGCTTTCCACCTTTTGTTCTAAAATATACTTTTAAACTATGTTGGTCATTCTTGATCTTAAAAGATTGCCTTTATAAGTAAGAATGTCATTTCTAAACTGCTAATACAATGGTTAGGAGCTCCTTTTCATAGGTTGATAAAGTTAGTTCTCTTCCTTTCTAACCTTTACTATAGTATGCAATATGCCTTCCCTTCTGCATTAGAATAGCCCCAACTCCCATTTCAAAAGCATTACATTCAATTGTGAAATATCTTGTGAAATTAGGTAAAACTAGTAATATTAGGGTTAGTGATTACTTCTTTAAGTTTAATAAAAGCCTCGAAATTATTTCTAGAAAAGTTTTATTTTTTCAAAAAAATAATTATTTGAGATTAGATTGTACAATTTCAAATCCAGTTTTAATGGTTAAACACTTGAAGTTATAGATTCAATTGATTGTGGTGGCAATACCTTAATTTTTGGTCTCCAACTACTTATTGATTCTTCCTAAAAATAAATCATTTGTAAGTTTTTAGATTCATTAAACTCATTTTCACTAGAAGTAGTTTCAAATTGATCGAAAACAAATTTTTCAATAAAATTTACTTGCTGTAAATCATGATCATCTCTATGTTACTTGAAAATGTTAAAAACATTCATTTTTAATGTCATGTATCCAAATAATAACTTCATCACTCCATTTCTATAATTAATCAATACATTAAAAACTACAAAAAATAAACTTTTTTAAATAATAAAAATCAAATTGCATGCTTTAACATGTTGTATATCCAAAATAATAAAATCCATAAGATAAATGAGTTTATCAACTTATACTAACACATCTTCAACTACTCTTATAGACATTTTTATAGATTTGTTAGTATGTAAAAGAGTTACAAAAGTTGGTATAACTCACCTGGATTGAGATTTTATAAAATTGAATATTGAAGTAAATTCACATTAGCTTCAAGATCAAGATTTTCTCTTATAAAACATAAAATTATAGGACAAACAAAATCTTTATATTTTAAAGAATTTTTTTTTAAAGAATTACACTTGTTCAACTAAAAGGCTTTGTTTTTAACATTCAAATGTCTTTTTATGGTGAACAAGTTCTTTAAAAAATTTGGCATAAAAGGATACTTACTTAATAGTGTCCAACAAATATATATTGGTCTTTACTTGTTTGAAAATTTCAAAGAATTCAAAATTGTTATTCACTTTCCTTTGATTAGTTATGACATGAGAAAATAGAAGTACTAATGAGGAATCAATCTTTTCTTTGAAATGTTTAGGTTCAACAACTTTTTTATCCTCAAAGATTGTCACAAGTGATAAGCAAATTATTGAGAATGTCAAGGAAAATGACAAAGAAGATAAAGTTGAAAATGATAGTTCTATATTAAAGTTTGTCTTGCATAATGATGCACTCAAAACAATAAATACATTAAATAATTTTATCTTGCAATACGAGGACACTGTATTATAACTACTTAATGTACTAAGAAAAGTTGGAGAAGAGATCCAGGGAGATATCAATTTTAAAAGAAAACATGTAAATTAGAGGCATATTTTACAAAGACCTCTTAATTGAGTTGCCTATTAATAAAATTATGATGTATAAAGAGATTATTAGTTTATATATCAAGTTGGACAGATGTGTTTTTTAATATATTTTCTTATAAATTTAACAAATTATTAATTTATCACATTGGCCTAGTTATTCGAATTTGAATGCAAAATTAAGAGGTGTATCCTATACTTTTTATTATTCATGAAAGTTGTCATAACTCAATTTCGACCTTCTTTTTCAATAAATTTTCCAAAAATCCAAAAAAAAGGAGAAAATAATTTTAAAAAATCCAAAAAATATATTTTCAATGCATTTGTGTCATTTTCATAATTTTCAATGTCTTTTTGAAAATTCTAAAATCCAAAAATATGTTTTCACCGTATTTAGTTATTAAATAGTGCATTCCAAAATCATTGATAAGTTTTTCTCATCGAATTGATGTTGATGTTATTTTTTTGTTTTTCTAAAAAAATAATAAAAAATAAAAAATAAGAGAAATAAAAAAAGAAGTAAAATGGATAGAGAGGCCAAAGGCATAGAGGAAAATAAGGGACAAAAATAAAATCAAGTTTCTCGGAGACCAAGAAATTAAAAAGAAGATGATAAAAAATTTTGTTTATAATTCTAAAGGAATCTTGTAAAAGAAGGAGGCCACCATTTGATTATAAAAAAAAACCCTCAGCTTCCATCTTATTCTCTCATTCTAAAAACAAATAGAAAAATCCTTATCTCATTTTCTTAGAAGTTGAAGCTTTAGTCGTCACTTTCACTTTAAAAAATCCCTAACATTTCTCATCTTTCAC